GATAGGTGTACAGCTTGGTGATTATAGAAATCATTACTGGTGGGGGACTGTGGACTACAAGGTGTATGTCATTGTGACCTATATCCTGGGATAGGTGTACAGCTTGGTGATTATAGAAATAATTACTAGTGGGGGACTGGCTTACAGTTCTTCAAATGCTCTTTAATTCATTCAGCGAGGACTACCGTGGACTTTGTACAAGATGCTCACCATTTCATTCACTGAAAAATTAGCTTGGACTTTAATCGTCCTAAATATGCACTATTGACTTTTCAATCATAGATGGAAAAAGTTTTAAGGTGTCAAAGAGAAAAAGAATAGTAATCGTACACTTTTAATACATTGAATTTCACTTTTAATACATTGAATAGTTACTGACAAATATTAAAAAATACTGATTAAATCAAAACACAATATGGTGGTATTTCAAGATTTTTATTTCACCTCACCTCTAAAAAAGATAGATAAAATTATTAGATGATTACTCTTATGACTATAGCTGCCTTGTTTATTACTGAGGTGGTTTAATACTGTTATTACATGATTGCTGTAAAGTGTAATGCGTTGTTAGTCATTTGACCATCACTGATTTCTACAAACGACATCCTGTGAATGCCTTCAACAGAATTAAACAAATTTGACTGGAAACATACTAAGGTGTTGGAGATTGGAATGTATACCAATAGAGCTACTGAACTCATTGGAGCCTATATCTTAGCATGCTACTGACCAAATACCACCACACTAGGTCATTTGGTTAATTATAAGGAGTCGTTTTTAGGTTTGATCACATTTGACCATTGTGACACTGCAAGAAACCTAGTGGTTCTTCATACGGACATGCTACTGATCAAGTTACATCATTTTAGGCCTGTTAGTAATTGGAGAGAAATCGTGTTGAAAAAGAAAAAAAAAATCGTCGGCCGCGCGGACGACATACGGACAAAGCATCATAGCATATATAGCATACTGAACAATTTAGGACTGGTACATGTATGCTAAATTTAAAACTATGTAAAACTAGAATGAAATACAAATTTGTAAAAGTAACACGCGTACACACAAAAAAGCAAATGGTCAAACCATTACGTATTTGTTCTGGTTGGTAATTATGGAACTGATCCGAGCAAATATTTATTGTGTGACGTTTCT